GGGGAGAGTTGTTGTCTGCTTCCAGGATGGTGCCTTCTTGCTGTGTCTCCTGGCGTGGATGAATGCTGAGTTCTGACATGGTGGAGGGAAAAACAGCTCCTGGCACCTCTTTTATAAGGGCACTAATTCTACCTGTGAGGGCTCCACCCTCATGACTTAATCACTTCCTGAAGGCCCCACCTCTCAATACTGTCACACTGGTGATTAAGTATCAACACATACATTTAGGGGGAGACGTATTTAGATCATAGCCATTGGATAAGGTGGCTGAGCAGCCTTCCAGGCTCCAGTCAATGCCGACAGTCTTTTGAGTCACTCAGGAAATGGGTTGGTTTGGTACGTCTTGTCCCATCATATGGGACCAACCAATCATATGGTTGGTATTATTTTGCTTTTTGTCTCAGTGGTTGGAGAGGATGCAAAGACATCATTTCACCTTGGAAGGTGGGTACAGGTGTCTCAAGGAATTCTCTTTCCCCTGCAGACTGACTACCAGTGTCCCTTAACCACTGGAAATAGGGTTTCTAATACTTTAAATTTAGTCTATGACAGAACCAACTGCAGGTAACCCAAAACCAATACAGAGAAATCCTCCTGAAGGTTCTCGTTGGTCCACTTCCATAACCAACTTCTGTATCTGTCTGGGTTCAATTGATCTGAGAAGCAACATCGCTAGAGCAGCTGTGTGAGCTGATTGAATAGTGAATTTGAGGCTGTTGCTTCTGTCTGTCAGTACTTCTAGACTGTCTTCTCCTGCAGTCTAGAGTCCACGGAGTTGAGAAGGAAAGCCACATGTCAGGGGAGACGCAGGGGAAGCTAGAACCTGGGAGGAAGGACTGGAGCACTGGAGGATGGTCAGAAGTCACCTTGTGAATTGGCCTCTCACTTCTTCCAAGCTAGGAGGAGGTGCACAGGAGATGGAGAAGCTGTGGGCACACTGCTGCCGCCCACCGTCCTGCCGGGCAGTGGATGAGCCCAGAGTGCTGGGCTTGCAGTGGCGTCTGGCAGTCGACACAGACATTCTGAGCACAGACGACGCTGCTGCTGCCCTTCCGCCTCCAACATCTCATACGATTGCCTCTTGTGGGGAATGCTAACCCAGAGCTGAGAAACGAAAGTTGACACAATATAAATCCACTGTACATTTATTAACCCTTGGCCGGGTACTGTTCAAGGTGGAGGGAGGTGTCTGGGACAGGCAGCGTCCTCACCTAGCTGAGAGCCGAGAACTGGGAGATGGGGAGAAGTAGACATAATTGCAATAAACAGAACAGCAGTACCGCGTTGCCGTGGTCATTGCCAGAGGGGACTCACAGGGCCAGTTCTGAGGAAGGCACTCCAGGCAATCTGGCATTTCAGTTGTTTGTTAACTGATTTTATTCATATCTACGCCATGTTTAACATCCGATTTAAAGTTTTATTCCTGGGAACAAATATTTACTATGCATTCTACAGGTGGTGCTTGAATCAGCACGAGGCTGGTGGCTATTCATCTTGTTGCCAGCATACTGCCTTCTAGGTGTTTTCCTCCCTCATCTTCTCTTTATAATGTTCTAGTTCTAATATGCTTTTTAGAATTATGCCTGGGGCGGCCGTAAGCCAGGACTTAGCCACAGGGCTCAATTTCTGAGTCGCATGTGGACGTAGGAGTACAGGAGCTTTCTCAGGGAAGTAACATCGAACAAAACTAACCAGTTCACAGCACTGGTATAATCTCGACTCTCATCCAATTTAATTCTACGCTTTTCTTTTCTCATCTTTAAAAAGTAGGAATTATCCAGGGAGGTCACTAACACATCTCTCAATCTTAACATCGTACGATTCCATGATTCTGCCACAGTAAGGATTGGAACTAAATCCAACAGAGAAGAAATGAGTACCCATTAACAGACACTATTTTACATTTCAGAATGCATTATTAAGCTTATTGCTTACAGTCCTGGATGACTGTAAAAATGGGTGCATTGTCCAAATGTCTCGAGTTAGATAGATTTGAGGATGGGATAGATGAAAGTATAATGTGTATGATTACGATTAGATGATTTAATGACTCTTATCTGGTGAAGTTCCTAAAAGCAAAAAGGCAATTCCCTTTCCCCTTCTGCCCCGGATGCCACACACACCCCGGACATGCACACAGAAGCATCTGCTAAAGCTTTATGTGAGCCACCTGACAGCTGCTCCTGGGTGGAGGCTGTGGCTTCATTCATTTCCACCAAGCATTTGTAAAATGGGATTAATTCAAAGAAAATTAAACTAATAGTTTAATGAATGTAATTACTTGAACAGTAATGCAATGTAATTACTATAAAATAAATGAAGGAGAGTATTACAGCCACGAAAGAAATTTATGACCTCATTTGTGATTTTATTTTTAAGCTCTTTCAAAAATAAATCTCTATTAGGGCCAGTTTGTCATCATGACACTGTGGGCAAAAATGTGCGGTTACAATGACAGTTTAATTTGAAACAGATTTTCACATATTATAGATACTTTCAAAGCATTAAACATTTTGAGCTGAGAATCTATTAAAATATGCCTCTTAGGAATTTAAATGTTTCGACGCTAATTGAAAGTGATCTGTGGGAAAAATAAACTTGCCTTCGTAACTTTAATTTGGATGAATACAACCGATTTTTAAAGAATTTGCTTTTATAATACTTTATCTGAAATTCCTGACTGAATGGCACAAATGTTACCTTTCTTTCCTCATGACTGCTATGGGCTGTTTCATTTCACATGTTGAGAGGTGACACTTTAACTCATCAAGGGTATGAGCAGAAGTCACTGTATTAGGTACAATCTAGGAGGCAAATATGAGGAAATGTACTCAGGGTCCACAGTCCGGAGATGCAGGGAAGCCTGGCTTTCAGGTGAATAGGATAGGGGGTGAAAGCTACTGTCCCTCCCCCTGGGGCTCCCTCCATCCTTGTCTAGCGCACCCCTTTCCTCACTGCTTCTAGCTCTGTGTGTACTCTGGTGTTGCTGCTTACTCTAGTGTAATATTTTTGGCACTTCCTGTCTCTCAATTCCTGTTTCCCTCCTCCTGTGTGGAGGCTGTGGCTTCATTAATTTCCACCAAGCATTTGTAAAATGGGATTAATTCAAAGAAAATTAATATATGCATTTAATATGTAAGTTGAATTGAATTTATTATAATTTAATCTGAGTAAAAAGCAGTATATAAAGAGCTTTCAAGCTCTTACCACTAGGTGAGCAAATGAGCAAAGGCTTCTGGTATTTCTATTTGAGATAGACTTGGGAGAACAGGCAGCATTTAGAAAGTTGCTGTGAGGAGCAATTGGAGGCAGAAGGAATAGTAAAAAACAAAGGCTGAAGAGCCTTGAAAGAAAAAACCGTCTTTGAAGAACATCTCTTAAAATTGGACTAATGTACCTGGGAGCAGTGGCTCACAGCTGTAATTCCAGTACTTTGGGAAACTGAGGTGGGTAGATGGCTTGAGTCCAGGAATTCAAGACCGGCCTGAGAAAAATGGCAAAACCCTGTTTCTACAAAAATACAAAAACCAGCTAGGTGTGGTGGCATGCACCTCTGGTCCCAGATACTTGGGAGGCTGAGGAGGGAGGATTGCTTGAGCCCTGGAGGCGGAGGCTGGAGTGAGCCAACATCACAGCACTGCACTCCAGCCTGGGTGACAGAGTGAGACTCTGTCTCAAAAAAAAAAAAAAAAGAAAAGGTGACTAGAGTTATTTTTTCTATAATTAAATATGTGTTGTCATATTAATTTAGAAAAGTATCAAATAGACCAGGGTTTAAGTTTTGTAACATAAGTTCTTCATAAAAATCTAAAGAGAATTTCTGCATTTTCCTTTGGTCCAAGGTGGGGGAGTTGTAGAACCTGAACGTTTCTATGGTGTAAGCCACTGTCCATGGTACTGGTCACAGATCATGACATCTCACGCTCAGCACTACCTGCGGAGGAAGATGCTCATTATCCCATCGTCTTGGCGAGGAAACGGAAGCTTGGTGAGGTCAAGTAACTTGCCCCAGTTAGACAGTCAGTAAGGAATGAAGCCACGTTCTCATCCAGGCGGCTGACAGCAGAGCCCTCTTTCTCTCAATTCCTGTGTGTGGGATGATCAGAAGCTAGAGGCCCGTTGAGAGCTGCTGAAGAACTAGAGAGGGAGTGAAGACTTGGAACTTAAGGAAGTTGTGGCTGGCTGAGAAATAATGTGATATGAGATTTCTCAGGTGTAGAAGGCTCCAGAACAACAGATGGAATGCAAGTATTCTGATCTCAGGACTTGTAATTCAAGAGAAGAGAAACCAACCTTTTGAAAGATAGCCGTTTTGAGCCTGGAACAGGCCGTGTTCTGGGGAGGTGGGAACGTGTGAACCTGGGACTTGATATGATGGGTGGTAGTGGGCTGGCTTCCTGCTGGAACGGCCTCCAGTTCATCTGCAGAGCGGTAGCTGCTGTGACATCAGGTCATCAGAGTTGCAGGGGTAGTTCCTTGTTTAACAATTGTAACAGAAAACCCAGTGTGAACTGGTATTCACTGCATTTTCTTTTTTGTTTCTTTTTAATTTTTATTTATTTTTTATTGTACTTTAGGTTCTGGGGTACATGTGCAGATCATGCAGGATTGTTGCATAGGTACATACATGGCAAGGTGGTTTGCTGCCTTCATCCCCCCCATCACCTATATCTAGCATTTCTCCCCTCATTATCCCTCCCCACTCCCTGCTGTCCCTCACCTAGTCCCCCCCAACTGGCCCCAGTGTGTGATGCTTCCCTCCCTGTGTCCACATGTTCTAATTATTCAACACCCGCCTATGAGTGAGAACATGCGGTGTTTGGTTTTCTGTTCTTGTTTCAGTTTGCTGAGAATGGTGGTTTCCAGATTCATCCATGTCCCTAAGAAGGACACGAACTCATCGTTTTTTATGGCTGCCTAGTATTCCATGGTGTATATGTGCCACATTTTCTTTATCCAGTCTATCGTTGATGGACGTTTCCTAAACATTTCTCTTTCAGGAAATATCTTCGTGGTGAGCTTAGCGGTGGCAGACCTGGTGGTGGCCGTTTACCCGTACCCGTTGGTGCTGACCTCGATATTTAACAACGGGTGGTACCTGGGGCCCCTGCACTGCCAAGTCAGTGGGTTCCTGATGGGCCTGAGCGTCATCGGCTCCATCTTCAACATCACCGGCATTGCCATCAACCGCTACTGCTACATCTGCCACAGCTTCCGCTACGACAAACTGTACAGCAGCAAGAACTCACTCTGCTACGTGCTCCTCATCTGGCTGCTGACGCTCGCGGCTGTCCTGCCCAACCTCCACGCGGGGACCCTCCAGTACGACCCCAGGATCTACTCCTGCACCTTCGCGCAGCCCGTCAGCTCTGCCTACACCGTCGCCCTGGTGGTTTTCCACTTCCTCGTCCCCATGGTCATCGTCACCTTCTGCTACCTGAGAATATGGATCCTGGTTCTCCAGATCCGACGCAGGGTGAAGCCTGACCACAAGCCCAGGCTGAAACCACAGGACTTGAGGAACTTCGTCACCATGTTTGTGGTGTTCGTGCTCTTTGCTGTTTGCTGGGCTCCTCTGAACTTCATTGGTCTGGCTGTGGCCTCCGACCCGGCCAGCATGGTGCCCAGGATCCCAGAGTGGCTGTTTGTGGCCAGTTACTACATGGCGTATTTCAACAGCTGCCTCAATGCCATTATATACGGGCTGCTGAACCAAAACTTCAGGGAGGAATACAGGAGAATCATAGTCTCGCTCTGTACAGCCAAGATGTTCTTTGTGGATAGCTCCAATGAAGTGGCAGATGGGGTTAAATGCAAACCATCTCCACCAATTACCCACAGGAATCTGGTAAAGGTGGATTCCGTTTAAGAAAGCACCCCCTTCCTGGCCAGACGCACACGCTGCTGGAGGCCTGGCTCCTCTCCGCCTTTGCTTTCCTGTTGACAGAAGTCTAGGAAAACAGAGTGATGGAGGAGACTTCCAACCTTCACCTGGCTGCTGCCATGGTTTCTGAGTTAAAGTGCTGTCCGCTTTCTGAACACATCTCCAGTCTGCCGGTCAAGACGGTTACATGTTGACTGAGGAATGATTCAGGGCTTGGGGGAGAGTCAGCCGCTGGATGCATTCAGGTGAAGGACTGTGCGGACATATATCGGAAGTGCCACAAATGGGCAGTTGCATTCTTCTCCACTTTATGAAGATTTCTAGTGGAAAAATGAATAGAGAACTTTATTTATAAATGGATCAATTTTTTTTGTAAATGAGACAACAAAAGGAAAGGCTGAACATAAATCAGTTAATGGCTCATCAACGATTACAACCACAACCAACACCACAAACTCTAGGTTGGCAGAATTAGCATTGGGTAGCTATACCTGTGCTCATAAATGTTTGCCGCTCTCTGATACAAGTTGTGCATGCAGCCAGATAAATAACTAAATTATGGGCTGAGCATGGTGGCTCACACCTGTAGTCTCAGCACTCTGGGAGGCTGAGGCCGGCAGATCACCTGAGCTCAGGAGTTCCAGACCACGCTGGGCAACACGGTGAAACCCCGTCTCTAATAAATGTAGCAAAGCTGTCACATACGGGAGCAAATTACTGATTTGCAACTATATACATAAAACAAAAGTTAACTGGATATACTTGCTAATGATTCTTTTCATTAAGCATATTTGGAAAATACCAAATTATGGCTGGGATGTGTGTGTGTGTGTGTGTGTGTGTGTAAGTTGCCTACAAAACTTTACCCAAGTTCTAGTTCTTATCAAAATCAAACTTACATAGTAAAGGTAAGATTTAGGCCAGTGTTGCAAATTTCAGATACCCAAACCCTAAAAAGTGAACCAGGCTCAACTGAATGCTTTCTGCAGTTTATTTTATGCTCTTTTCTTGATGCTTGGTATGAATTGCTGTGTTGCTAAGTGTACACAGTGTGATTCCTTTGTTCTTTATGGAATTTTATTTACTTATTTCTGTATTGTACTATGTTTGAATTGTATGTCAGCAGACATAGTGAATCGAAAACTGTGCCCTTCAAAAAGTTGCCAAGAGTATCTTACTTGAAAATCAAGTGTGTAACTTTAAAATATTCAAGTGATTTTTCACTATCATCAGATAGTTAAAATATTGCCAATGTAACAGCTACTCATAAAGACCAAAGTCCCAGGTTTCCCCTACTAGAATCCCCATGTAGGAGTCTCCTAATCATTCATTCAAGGTATTGTCTCTGTTCCTCCCTGTAATATCAGAAAGTAGAGTGCCCTTAGCTCTGTGTTTCTTTCCTCTTGAAAAACTTAAATGTGTAATCAGTTGTGCTTGATATTTTTAGTGTATAAATTATTCTGTAGTCTGTTTGGAAGATTAACTCTTTCAAGACCATTAGATTAGGACTTATCAAGTGATCTGTTGTGTAGTTCCAGTGGGTACCTGGGTAGTATCGTGTAGTATCGCTGGAGATGTGCTCCTTATTTAAGGAAGCAGACTGTTTCATGAAATCTACTAAGCTGCATTAATCAGCTGTCAACCCGTACTAAGTATCTGCAGTCTGTCAGAGTCGCTTGTTTCCAGCGTAAATATCTTTGTCAGTCTCCCCTCTGCCTATGGGAATACTAGTGGTGATGTGAGGGTTGACAAGAAGATAGTGACATTTGCCATGGCGTATTTGCAAATTCTAGGATGATTTGCACTTGTCTATAGCTGGGATTTTAATGCCTAGACTGGAGGCTTTGTGAGGCCAAAAATAGTACCTGTGTTATAACAGAGAAAAATGCCCCTTTTCAAAAGCACTCAGTGGGATTTGAGACTCTGGCTAGGCAAAGCCTATGCAAGGCCACTTGATGTGGAATAAGGCTCAGCATCTCTTACTGTCTTGTCTTTTATCAGTTGCTGAATCCTGTGAAATTATAAGCATTCCATAATTTAAATACCTACATTAACATCCAGTTGGATTGCATAGATGGAAACATTTCACCATTCTAATTTACATAGATTATTTGAATATTATCACTGGAGAGCTTGCTTCAGCCATATTCTCCTATGGAAAATCTAAATCACGTAGGATTACCTTCTTTTGCCTTTAGTGAATGTAACTTTTAAACACATACTGTTATGTTTTTCTTATACCTGTTGGAACAGATTAACTGGGGACATACTCACTATACCACATTATGTAAGCTTCATGGTCGTATAAAATATGGTTTTTCTTTGTTTAAAACTAAAGCGTTAATAGATACTATAGATTGAAGAACAGAATAACTTCAGGTTGCTCTGTTGTGGGTCTCATTCCCAAGTATGTGTGTATGTGTAAATCACTGACATGCATAAGCAATCACATATTTTTCTGACAAAGCAGCAGAGCAGCTTGATTTTAAATATGCTGGGAGGCAATTTGACAGGATAATCAATCGTAGATCTTAAACCCATAGTTGCTTAGTGACTAAACACATTCAACGTGAATGTCACGTAATGAATTTCGGTCATGTTTTGGACTACCTCTGATTCATCCCCAAATACTTCACTGTGAATAAGCAAATGCATTTGGAATATGCTTTTCAGTCAGTTTAAAGGACTGAGTTATTATATTTGGGGATTATGTGAACATTATAAGCAGTACAACATAATTTTCAAAATTTCTTGTTCCATCCTTTTACTTTTTTCTGCTTTTATGCTTATAATTAAAGTATCTCCATTAAAAAAGTGACTGTGTACAGTATAAAAAGTCCTCTAATCTCGGCAACGGTAGCACCTGCTTTGCTATACTGATTACAAGTTTTTGGAAATCTCCAGAACTGTAGGGGAACATTTAGGGAATAAATGAAAGTGATTTTAGTTGTGTCAAATATTTATGTTGCTGATAAGTGCATACCTATTTTACCAAAGGTCTTTAGAAGACCAAAGATTGAATGTCAACTAAATTTGTTAAATACAGGAAAAGGCCAAAAGGGAGAGAGAGCTAACCAAATTCTTACTATCCACATAATGTAACGATAATTAACAAGGTAAACAGTTAGTAATGCACTAAATGATTACCAAGAGACTGTTGCGGTGGTTGCAGTGTTTAGAGGCCTGTGATTGCAGCTCCTGTGCTGTCAACGTACTGCGTTCAGGACATCCCTAACCGGGGTCACTTCGCACTTGTCTACGCCCAGGAGAACAATGAAGCTAAGTGTGCCGCACCTTGCTTGAAAGTGGTAAAGGAAATTTTAAATCAAAGGAACTACAAAATCATAAAAAAAAAGCTAACGATTTTAGAATCGTGACCCCTAATCATATATATTACTGTGTTTCTTTCTTCTTTGGGACAGAAACAGTTTAATGGAAACAACTATTTAGGATTGCTTTTTACTGTTACAGAGTTTAATGTGAGAGAACAAATTTGTGTATGTTGCATGTGTGTGCGTGTGTGCATACTGTGTATTTTAGCCAGCTGCTTTTTGTTTCAGTTGCAATGTTGTTGATCTTAGGGAATATGAACAGCCTTTGAAGAGATAAAAGATCATTTAGATGCTGTGTGTGTTGTTAGTAATAATGAAAAAATGCATTGTTCCTAGAAAAGAGTACCTTTATTATGAGGACACATTTCTATGTTCTGATTACAGGACAATATGAACACGCCTGTTTTAAAACAATTGATTACCATTGCTTTTAGAAGGAAACACTTGTCTTTGTCCTTTTTTGTGATTATCTGGTGCTCTAATTCCCGATAGAACGGTTATATTGCAGTGTGTGAAGCAGATGTGTCTAGTTCAGTAAGGAGAAGTGGAGAAAATTGCTTAGAATTAAGAAAATGAATGGTACCTTTTCTTTCTATCATGATGTTCAGCAAACCCGTAAGAACTCTTGAGTTTTGGTGCACAAAGGGACTAGTGATTATCCACCACGCACCATCCTAATCAGTACTGGATGAGCCTCAATGCTTACGACACAAGAGTAACAATCAATTCAACTGCTCAGCTTGCATAGGAGACCGTAACTGATTTCCACCTAGAAAACTGTATCTCCCTTAACTCTCCAACCGTTGTCCTAGAGAATGTGTTTGCTTAGACAATGTTTGGAAAACTCAAAGTAGTTAAATATAAGATGTTAACTTGAATTCTGATATTGTTTTACACTGGTAACTATTTTCTTGCATTCTGGATATAAATTTTAATAAAAGGTGAGGAAGCTTGTTTTTACAAAAGATGATTTAATTTTGTATTTTTGAAAATATAGCCCATGGTGTAGTATACTTGCATGTTTTTACCTTTTTTTACTCATATCTGTACCTTGTTACTGCCAAGGATGAACTTTAATGGGATCTTTGCTTATATATTTTTGTTCTAATAAAAGTTCTATGTGTATGTATGTACACAAGTGTACACATAGAAATTATAAATATGATTTATGTCATTATTTTCAAGGTGGACAATTTGTTTTTCCTCTTATTTGTTGGAAATTAAACAGAAGTTGGTTAAGAATGGAGGGTTGCTGTGTGGTGGCTCACACCTGTAATCCCAACAAATCGAGAGGCGCAGGTGGAAGGATCTCTTGAGGCCCAGAATTTGAGACCAGCCTCGACAACAATGAAACCTTGTCTCCTAAAAAGTAAAAAGTGAGCTGGTAAAGATGAGACACACCTGCAGTCCCAGCTACTCAGGAGGCTAAGGCTCCCTGCTTGAGCCCAGGAGTTCAAGCTACAGTGAGCTATGATTGTACCACTGCACTTCAGCCTGGGCCAGAGAGTGAGACCATGTTTCTAAAACAACAGCAACAACAAAAGGGATGGAGAGTGGTTTTATAATTACTTCAGCTACGCATCTGTTTATAGACAATTGGCCTGTCTCTTTGGTTTTGGCATTTTTCTCAGCAGAATTTAAATTAGTTATTCATATGTGTTCAGATACATACCTACATTATTGGAGGATTCACTTAAGGTGGTAGCAAAAATATTAAAGGAAAAATAGCAGAGAAAGTTATGGAATATAGTCTCAAACTCTTTCAGAAGGCTTAAAGGTTTTTCTATAGTTCTTGGCTGAAGGCAGCCAGAGTCTCTTTGCAAGAACCAGAGAGATTAAGGCACAAGTACAAAAAAATGTGAGGAGTTAACCTAATGAACTTGTCTACTCATGTGGTCTTCAAACTAACTTTTGAGCCAGATGGCTCTCTCGGGGGAGATCGACCAAGGATATTACCCGCTAACAGTGTTTGCTTTAGGCATCAGAACCTGTCCTTCGATCTTTAACCTCTAGTGGTGTTGACTCAAGCCTTTATCAATTAAAATTTACTGAATAAATTTGAGTCTCACTGGCTGGTGAGGGCCAGTGGTTGCAACTGTTTACAACACTCCCCAAGGAGTCTGTAAGCAGCCACAGACACTTGGCTGAACTAGCAAAGCATCATATCTGCATGTCAGTGTTCTTTATTCACTAGTCACTGAGTCAAGGTCTGCAAGACAGACCCCTGAAAGTAGTGACCCCAACACATTATAATAAATATGTATATATTATATTGTTATATTCTAGTCCATCATGGAATAGAACTGAATATAATTGAACGTTGCTCCATTTTGATATAGGTGACCAACAAATGCTATTCTAAGTACAGATGTGTTGCACAAATCAAATTTTGTTTCTGCAAAAAAACAAAATCCCCCCAGAAAACATGATTTCTTGGTCAGTGTGTATGCATGGGATGGAATTCTTTATTTCTTGCAACCTCTGGAAGAAAAAGACAGGCTATCTTCTTGACCTTTGCACAATCATGTTGTAGAATCATTCAGGGGACATCAGGGGCCATGCTAATGCCAATCCCTTCATTTTATAGACTGTGAAAATAATATTCACAAAAATTAAGTGTCTTGTCAGTGATCTCTTAGAGTTAGTAGAAGAGATAAGACTGAACCATGAACTCCTGTATTCACTAAAAATTAGATAATATTGGATCCCTCAGTTTTCCAGAAACAGTGCTAGGTAATGGGCAGAAAGTGATGAACAAGCATTTGTTGTCCCAACTACTTACCATGTATCAGGAGGGGGATAGAACACCCGTAATTAGAATGCAGTGCACCTGCTAACATCAGCAAAAGAGACAGGTAGATACAAACACACAACACCATCTAGGAAGTAGTCTTCCCTTCCTAAAACTCAAGTCTGAAGCTGATTTAACTAGAAATTTTTGGGAAATGCAGGGATCAAGAAAGCATCACAACATCACAGGAGGCAATCAGCAAAATCCAAACTCTACCAAAACCTTTAGTACAAAGGAACCACTCTCACACATATTTGAAGGAAAAAAGATATGGGGGGACCAAAGATTAAGAGATTTGTCAATTACTTTGTAATGAATGAATGTGTTTAAGACAAGCTATGCTTTTAAATATTATATAGGGGCCAGGTGCAGTAGCTCAAGCCTGTAATCCCAGCACTTTGGGAGGCTGAGGTGGGTGAATCACGAGGTCAACAGATCGAGACCACCCTGGTCAACATGGTGAAACCACGTGTCTACTAAAAATACAAAAAATTAGCTGGGCACGGTGGCACGTGCCTATAATCCCAGCTACTCTGGAGGCTGAGGCAGGAGAATTGCCTGAACCCAGGAAGCGGAGGTTGCAGTGAGCCGAGATTGCGCCATTGCACTCCAGCCTGGGTAACAAGAGTGAAACTCCATCTCAAAAAACAACAACAGCAAAAAAAAAATTATATAGTACAGAGGAAAGTGCAAGTGCTAAATATTGACAATAATATATTATTATTAGATTTTTTTAAAGAATGTGATAATGGTGTGTTTTGGTTAAAACCAAAATGCACTGTCCTTTGGAGACACATAATGAAGTATTTGTGCACAGATGATACTGCATCTGGGATATACTTCAAAATAATTAGGGTGGAAAGGTGAGGTGGGTGGGTTGATAGAGGAAACAAAATTTGCCTTGAGTTGCTTATTTTGTAAAGGGGTAATGAGTGCGTGGATGTATATTATATCTCTGGCTTAATGACTTGTAAATTGCTTCTGAAACCCTGCTGTTGTTACTCAAAAAGCCATTAAATTTTTTTTTACAAAAGAATCTTTTCAATAATTTTAATGAAAAAATTGATGTGTTCCATCCCAACTGAAAATACCAAGATTATTAGTATTAAATGGATGTAGATTTCATGACATTATCCAATTATTTATCAATCGTGGAAATGTTTCAGATTTATTAGTTTATTATTCATTATTGTATTTTCGTATATTTTCTGGCTGCCTTTTTTTTTAATCTCAAAAATAATCACAACTTGGGTTGTCAGTTTCTGTGAGAAGGGTTTTTTCTTTTTTTTTTATTTATTTATATATATATATTTTTTTAATTTTTTATTGGATTATAGGTTTTGGGGTACATGAGCAGAGCATGCAAGACAGTTGAGTAGGTACACACATGGCAGTGTACTTTCTTTTTTCTCCCCTTCACCCACATTTGGCTTTTCTCCCCAGGCTATCCCTCCCCACCACCCCCTCCCACTGGCCCTCCCCTTTTCCCCCCAGTAGACCCCAGTGTTTAGTACTCCCCTTTCTGTGTCCATGTGTTCTCATTTTTCATCACCCGCCTATGAGTGAGAATATCCGGTGTTTCATTTTCTGTTCTTGTGGCGATTCCTCAAGGCCTTAGAAATAGAAATTCCATTTGACCCAGCAATCCCATTACTGGGTATATATCCAAAAGACTATAAATCGTTCTACTATAAGGACACATGTACACGAATGTTCATTGCAGCACTGTTTACAATAGCAAAGACCTGGAATCAACCCAAATGCCCATTGCTAACAGACTGGATTGGAAAAATGTGGCACATATACACCATGGAATATTATGCAGCAATCAGAAATGATGAGTTTGTGTCGTTTGTAGGGACATGGATGAATCTGGAGAACGTCATCCTCAGCAAACTGAGAAGGGTTTTTTCTTAAAGGACCAGAATAATTTTTTTTAAAATAAAAGTTTAATTTTATTATTTCTAACACTTAAAGAGTTCTTAAGTTTCCTTGCTAGATTTATATTTATATGTGCTTACCAGTGCCCAGAAGACCAGCTTAATAGGAATTCCTTTAAATTTAAGACTTTATTTACCCTCTCTAGAAGTAGGTGAAAATATACCAATCAGCTTTATCAGAAAATACTTCACATTCGCACCACAAACTAGTCTCATTCAACTTGTAGGCAAACTAGGGATCTTTGAGAAGGCTCTTCTCTGCAGGTCATACATAAGCCATCTTCCCAGGGACTGGCTTCTTCATCTCAGTACAAAAAGCCACCCACAAATACAGTACAGACAGCAACTCCAATCAGGGATCAAAAGTAAACACAGCTATTCATGTGAATAAAACTCCTGCATGGAAAACCAAACTAAGATGAACCTCTTAGAATTGACAGTTGCTTATTCTAAGCAATTTTTAGAGTCTTTTAGTATTCTTCAGTTATAACTGTTGCTATGTGCTGTAACTTTCTCTCCCACTTATTGTAGTATTTTATTTATTTATTTATTTTTAAATTTTTTATTGTATTTTAGGTTTTGGGGTACATGTGCAGAACATGCAAGACAGTTGCATAGGTACACACATGGCAGTGTGTTTTGCTTCCTTTCTCCCCTTCACCCACATTTGGCATTTCTCCCCAGGCTATCCCTCCCCAGCTCCCCCCCCCGCTGGCCCTCCCCCTTTCCCCCCAATAGACCCCGGTGTTTAGTACTCCCCTCCCTGTGTTCATGTGTTCTCATTTTTCATCACCCGCCTATGAGTGAGAATATGCGGTGTTTCATTTTCTGTTCTTGTGTCAGTTTGCCGAGAATGATGTTCTCCAGATTCATCCATGTCCCTACAAACGACACGAACTCATCATTTCTGATTGCTGCATAATATTCCATGGTGTATATGTGCCACATTTTCCCAATCCAGTCTATCATCGATGGGCATTTGGGTTGGTTCCCGGTCTTTGCTATTGTAAACAGTGCTGCAATGAACATTCGTGTGCATGTGTATTGTAGTATTTTATAGCTTCCAACGAAAGGAATGACTTAAAGAGTCACCATCAAACACCTACAAGCCCACCATTCGGCTTCACCTTTTTACTGGTTTCACAGACTTTCAGACACAAGCAGTGGTGCTGCATCTGGGGTTGCATGAGTTTGCTAGGGCAGCCACAAGTGTACAGATTGGTGGCTTATGCAATAGCCATTAACTTTCTCACAGTTCTGGAGGCTAGAAATTAGGGCATCAGCAGAGCTGATTTCTCCTGTTTTCTTGGCTTGTAGACATTCTCTTCTATACAGCATAAAAAAAAAGACAAAGTACTGTTATCAGTTTAAACATCTGGGTTTAAATCTATTTTAACTGAAAAAGGATGAAAAGATTGGTCTTAAAGGGTTTTTCTAAAAATTAACCAATGAAATGAAATGATTGGTCTTGAAGCCAAAAGTGATGCTCATCATTTCCATCCTTCACCACTCATCCTAAATCCCCTCACCTCTGGGCAGCTTTGGCGCTGATTTAGGTTTGCTTACTTGGCAGAAAAAAACAATATTCGCCCCTGATTACCAGGTCCTTGTGAGACTAAGGTTGCTGCAGTTGAACATTTATGGTTATTAATGAACATGCAGCAATAACGGGTTCTCTGGCGAATATCCTAACTTCCAGATTTTCTCCTTCCAGCCCAATTTTGTACCAGTGGCTTTGTTCCCACATGACGGAGTCAGTAAGACCCTACGTATATCGTAAGTCATTCTGTTGCCTAATGGTCTACTGGTATGAGGAGCTCCAAATGACCAGAGAACGTTAAGTCTGGAAGAACTTCTATGTCTTTCTACGGCGAGCATCTCTCTCCTGGGCTGTCGTGCAGCCATGCCTGAAATTTCAGCATGAGGAGCACCAATTCCCCGAGTGGGTCTCTGGATCTAACCATGAGAATGAACATCCCTCTTTCACTGCTGGCTCCTGTGCTGTCGGGGTCGACAGGCAGACTCTGATCTTTTTTCAATCTTCTTCAATCTTTTTCATTGGTTAATTTTTAGAAAAACCCTATCTCTAAACTGATTATATATGGAAACTGAACAAATGGGTGTCCTATATTTGAGATAAAAGTAATTTTTCATCTTGTAAGCTTGTGCTTTTTCTCCACTGATATGTAATGAATGCCACCTGGATTTACTGGTTGCAAGCAGCACACTTTGATCCGTTCACAGTCCTGTGGCTCGGGAGTTCAGGTGGCTTAGCAGTGTCCTCTGGCCCAGGTTCTCTACGAGGCTGCACTCTACGAGATGGCCAAGGCTGCGGTCGTCTCACAGCTGAACATGGGGGGTTGGGGGACACGTGCACGTCCAAGCTCACTCATGGGACTGGTGACAGTTTTCTAGTCCTCTCTGGCTGGTCCAGGGACATCATTTCATTGTCATGTGGGTCTCTCTGGAGGGTACTCACACCCAAGAAAAAACCACGTTCTTTTGCAATCTGCCTCAGGAGAGACCTTACTCTGCCATATTCTGTTCATTAGAAGTGAGTCACTAGGTTTAGCCCACACTGGGGGAGGAGCTCCCACAGGAGCTTGACTCCCAGGAAAAAGGGGTTACTGGGAGCTCACTGAGAAGCAGCCTACTACATTTGTTCCTACTTTCAATGCCTAATGAATCATGGATCCGTCAATTCTTCAATTTCAAACATTTTCCTTTAATCACCCCTTACTATCCATTTCACTGCCAACACCTCCATCTCTGTCTTCCCCACCATGAAATAGATTAGTACCAACTTCCTTAACTCTCCACGAGCCCCCGCATGGCCCTGGTTCCCTGCTGCTCCCTAGTATTCCCGAAACACCCCGTACCCTTTCCTGTTCTTATTCATTCATTTACTTATTCGGAACACCTCAGGAATCTGCAGGCCATCCTTGCACAGGGGCCCTGCCCATCTTCCCTGGACCGCTCCAGTTTTAGTGCATGTGCTGCAGAAACAAGCAGGCTTCCTGTCCTTGCTCAGGAGCGCTCGAAGGCTCCCTGTTGCCTGCTTCCAATGGTGGGTCATGCTCCGTCCAATTCATGCCTCCCATCCCAGCTGAGTGGGGCCTTCGCCGTGTTCCCTTCTCAACATGGCGAGCTTGGGCTGTCACGTCGCCTTTGCCTTTTCCTCTCTGCTCGCCACCTTCTCAGTAGAGCCGGCGCTGCTCACTATCGCCCCCACTGGTTGCGTTGTGCTTCAGTCCCACAGGCCGCTCGAAGTCACGTTTACATCCGTTCTGGCTGCTTTAGGGGTTCGAATCTGCCCATGCTTTTCTCCCACCAGGCTGCAATCTATGTAACTTCCTGTATTTCTGTCCATCCGCGGCATCTAACAATACTGAGCACATGGCGATTCCTCAAATACTTGCGACTTCAGTGAAAATAGAGCTCTGCACTTCCTGGCTGCTTCAGCCAAAACAAAGCAAAAAAATTAGCAAAAAGCTTGGAAGGAGAGGCAACATCAAAGCCAAAAGAAGGACTATTTTGAGATATTTCTGATAATCCTATCTCAAAATGTACAGATGGACATATTTCTAATAATCCTATCTCAAAATGTATAGACAGACTATGGTTATTTTTAGTAAGCTCATGTTTTTCTATTATTTCTTGTTAGTCATTCTGTTTCGATGATGGACATAGAGAATGGTTTCCCAACAAGAGATGATTTTTGTCCCCAAAGAGATATTCGGCAATCTCCAAAGACATTTTTGGTTTTCACAGCTCAGGGGAGGAGGGTTGCTCCAGGGACCTAGTGGGTAGAGGTCAGGGACACTACAATGTACAGAATAGCCTCCAGCAGCAAGTAATTCCTTGGCCCTAAATGTCAATAATGCGGACATTGGAAACTCATCTTTATCTTGAGCACAGGAGCAGTGTAGCAAAGGCAGGGCGAACCTGGATTCTGTAGCCACACTGTTTGTGTTCAGATCCCAGCTGTGCCGTTCACTAGCTGCGTGACCCTGGACAAGTTACTCAGCATCCAGCTTTCTTCATGTTTAAGCGATGGAAGTAATAGAACTCACCCTTAAGTGTTACTGAGAGGGCTCGATGAGTTCATAGTTGCGGAGTCCTTCAAGCAGTGTCTGGAACATCATAAGATCTAGAAAACCTGAGCAGGTTCTCATGGGCAGAGTGGAGCCTCACTTGCCTGCAGCGATCCCTTGTGGCTGAATGACAAATTCATTGTTATTACCGCTGGTACTCACCAGCATCTGCAAGTTGGAAATGGTAGCTATTTTCATTCAGCGTTAATGTACCGACTGAAATTTTGGCCTTTCTCTGAGAGGATTTAATTTATGTAAAAACAAGGAGGTGAACTGATTCTTTTAAATAAGAGCAGACATGTAGGTGACTAGCACGCTCATTAGATTTCACACAAGGAGAGCCACACCCATCGTTGGTCACAGGCAGCCAGGTCCAGCACAATAGAGAGACCACTTAGAGGTGGCCGCACCATCAGGACAGGAGCAGGGCAGAAAAAAGACACTCCATTCTGAAAGGGACCATGTTCTGTGACTTGCTCCAGATTTTTAATTTACAAAGCAAATTGTGTGTGTGTGTGTGTGTGTGTGTGTGTGAATTACTCAGGTTAACTTAACATCTGAATTGCAGTCCGCATTGTGCTTTTGCAAGTAGATGAATTTCCCCTGTATCATAACAGAAATTTTTTACGTGTATGTTTTATGTTATGATTCTTTTGGGGAGTTATAATCGTAGGAAAATTGGGAAGACTAAATCTAAAAGGTGTGTTAAAAAGTAGATAACTTGCATCATTTGGTAATATATCTGGTTACATCTTAGTCTCTTCTAATTCAATGTAAGAATAAAATTGTAAAGTAATTGGCACCTGGCTGCCTCTGCTTTGCATTTAAGTCTCTGTGCTAGGAGACAGGATGGGTATATAATTTACACATAGTTAATTTGCTTCTTAATTATTTATATCAGTTTCCCACTGTCCGGTAGAAACACAGAGAGACTCTGGGTCCAGCTAAAGTACGTCTGACTCCTGTCAGAGTGCAGTGAGAAGAGAGTGTCCTGTGTGATGACGTTTATTATTTACTGGTTTAAGGAAAGCTGTCCTTGGCATTTTAGTGCATAAGCACACTACAGCATGACTATAATTATCTTTAAAAGCATATATTGTTATGTGATATTGGAACATCAGGACATTTTGCTGTCATAAGAGTTTGTCCTCACAGGCATTAAGTGGTTTTCTCAGCTATGAAGATCCTATGATCATGGGTGGAGACATAGTTTGGCTGTGTCCCCACCCAAATCTCATCTTGAGCTGTAGTTCCCATAATCACCATGTGTCATGGGAGGGACCTAGTGGGAGTTAATCAAATCATGGGGGAGGTTACCTCCATGCTGTTCTCGTGATAGTGAGTGAGTTCTCACGATATCTGATGGCTTTATAAGGGGCTCCCCCCCGACTTAGCACTGCACTTCTTGCTGCCACCATGTGAAGAAGGACGTGTTTGCTTCCCCTTCTGCCATGATTGTAAGTTTTCTGAGGTCTCCACATCCCTGCAGAACAGGGAGTCAATTAAACCTCTTTCTTTTATAAATTACCCAGTCTAAGGTATGTCTTTATTAACAGGGTGACAACAGGCTAATACAGGTGGTAACTGGCAAGGAATGTGCCTCACTAGTTTTAAGATGGAGTTGATTTTAAAGTGGTGTCATCCAGACTCTCCAAAGCTTCTGTTTCCCTAACAGTATAAAATAAAATATCTCTTGTACTCCCAAATGCCCAGTCCCATTTAGATATAATCGCTGCAAATAGTTTATTGGGGATTTTAAATACATTTCTTGTGGATATAAACTACATCCTTTTTATAAACATATACATTCATAGGGATTGTTGAATATCCGTTGTGTCACTTGAGCCATCTTGAAGCGCATTCCCTATCGACATAGACAACTACTGCATTTTCCAGTGGACACCTAAGCTTTTCATTATGTGGATATTCCACGATTTTAAACCAATCCTCTACAAACAAAACTTTAGATTTTCTTCTGGCTTTTACAATTACTAAAAACGACACAGTGACCTTACTTGTACCTATTCCTTTCCTGGCTGCGAGTGTATATGTAAGATAAATGTGCTGAAGTAAAGTCGTATTTGAAGTTGGAAATGATAGTTTTATTCAGCATCGTATTCAAGTTTCTATGTTTTACACCTTTGTCTACACATCAGTCTTTTCAGTTTTTGACCATGTGATCTGCAAAGACGTGTTAATGGCAAAAACCACAATTACTTTTGCACCAACCGAATGCATCGTTTTTGTTTCCATTTTAGTTTACACAGAATCCGTCCACATATTAACTAGCCATTTTCATGACTTAATTTTCTGTTGCATTTTACTTTTCTAAATTAACACTTTTCTGTCACGTGTTTCAAACTTAAGAGAAATGTTATGTTTCGCTTCATGTGTGTCCAGTGCGTGTCTTGTCTGCCCTGCTATCTTTTCCTTCCAATGTCTTTAATCTTTCTGCCTTTTTCTTCTTTGCTAGTATTTCAGGTCTCCGCTCTCTGACACTGATTTTGCTGGCAGCTGATCACTCTGTTCACAGCTATTTCCAATGGCGTTTTGTCCTTTTCTTTCCTCTTCAGTTTCCCTTTTGACCTATTTTATCTTTAATTTTTGTTTGATTCCATGTTTTGTTTAATTTCTTTCAGAGCGCAAAACGTGTTGAATATAAATTCTTTGTAATTTGTATATGATACTCCTTCCTGCAATGTGTTCACATATATACAAGAAGCAATGACTCTCTTGTCCTGCTATTTTTCCAGAGTCTTGCCGTATCACCCAGGCTGGTATGCAGTGGCGTGATCTTGGCTCACTGCAACCTCCATCCCCCAGGTTCAAGTGATTCTCCTGCCTCAGCCTCCCGCGTAGCTGGGGTTTCAGGCACACACCACCATGCTCAGCTAATTTTTTATATCTTTTAGTAGAGATGGGGTTTCACCATGTTGGTCAGGCTGGTTTTGAACTCCTGAACATGTGATCCACCTGGCTTGGCCTCCTAAAGTCTGGGATTACAGGTATGAGTCACCATGCATGGCTGTCCTGCTAGTACTTTAAACCCAGCAGCACAGCAAAATTGCCCTGGAAGAATATCTATCTATCTATCTATCTATCTATCTATCTATCTATCTATCTATCGAGATGAGACCTTGCTATGTTGCTCAAGCTGGTCTCAAACTCCTGGCCTCCAGCCATCCTCCCACTTCAGCCTCCCAAAGTGCTGGGATTACAGGCATGAGCCACCATGCTTGGCCACCTGGGAAGACTTTTAAAAAACGCCAGTATCAAGGGCCCATTCCAAACCTCACCCTGATCAGGCATTACCTATAGCTGAGTTCCCTCTGGAGACTGAAGCACGGAGAATTTTGAGAAGTTTGCCTTGGCACCCTGGCTATGCTACTACCTTGCCAGCCCCATAGTGCCATGACACTGTGCAGATAAATCTTGTGTTGTTCATTAGCAGTTTAGCTTTATGGATACGTTTTCATTTTGGTGGAAAAATACTTAGAAAAGGAATATCTATCTGAAATCTTGTGTCGTTCATTAGCAGTTTAGCTTTATGGATACGTTTTCATTTTGAGGGAGAAATACTTCGAAAAGGAATATCTATCTGGCTTGTGTAATAAGAGTATTTTTAACTTAACACTAAACTGCTTATTCTGTTCCCCCAAATTATTGTATCATTTTATGTCTCATTTTTCTTAACACAAGTTTACAAAGAGTTTTCGTTTTTTAATTCTAGAAGATTTTATAATTTTAGGTGTGATATTATGCTAGTTGTCTATTTTGAGCTACATTTTGGATACAGTACAAGGTAAAGTCCACATAAATGTTGGAATCCAGCTTGTCATTTTCTACCAAAAAAAAAAAAAGCCTTACTTGGATTTTCATTGCTTTTCCAGTGAATCTATAGATCAATTTGGGAAGAAA